GCTCTATAATCTATAAGTCTGAATTTGATGCTTATTTTGGGGCTTCTAATCCTGATAATGCACACACTATTACCGAAGAAGCGATAATTATATACATATTCTCATTGCGGCTTTAATAGGGCAATTTTACATTTTTCAAATAATAGACTAGAAATAGAAGACAAATATATATAGGATTGGAAAAGTATCTTTCATTGCGTTTATAACTCCGAGGCAAGATTTTTGGAGGTATATGCACTAAAAACGCCGAACTTGTAACCCCACACATCACTTGCTCAATAATTTAAAATTTCAGTCGTTGCATGGAAATTATTATTGACTGGATTTTATTTCTATTGAATTTTTGTAACCTAATTGACTGTGACGGTGAGCTCTAAAAAAGTTAGACATGGAATCGCCGCGAGTAGATCTTGTTGTCCCCTTGAGGCACAATCCATTAGATTTTCATTCTCTCTTTTTGGAAATAACCTTTTTCATTATTATGAACTAGTACTACTAATATAGCCTCTTCTACCAATAAATTAACGTCAGAAATATTTTCTTAGATTTCGTATATATGACATTTTCCATTACACAAACAAGTTTGAATAGTTAAATGAATGGTCATGAAATTGCTGATGCAAAATCATGACACAAAGTTCTAAATTTCATAAAAATAACTTACAAATATAGTTTTTTTTTTGTGTTCGTGGAAAATTATAGACTTTTACTTGCATGCATGAATGTGTCGTCACTGTAACTATTATACAATCTAGAGAGATCCAACGAATCCAATTTTTAAATTTATATAATACTTTTTTGTATTGCTTTTCTATTAGGACGCCACCACCCACGTTCTCTGTTCGTCAGCCATCACTGTCAAATGGCAGCTTATGGCAAATCTTCTTCTCCTTCACTTCTTCAACTTCACCTCCAATGGAAACCCATTTCTTCCTCCTCTTCCTCTCACTGATTCTCCTCTTTTTATCCAAACCCGGATCCGGATTCGGATCCTCCGGTCCAATTGCTGCGGCGTTCGGTGGCTCTGCTTTCTTCTGCGCCATTGACGCTAGTGGTCGTCAAGATGTTATCTGCTGGGGAAAAAACTACTCATCTCCTTCTTCTCCATCTTCTTCTTCTTTGTCTCTTGCTTCTTCCACTTCCCAAAGCTTCAACATTCCGTCCATGGCGATTCTCTCAGGTGGAGACGGGTTTCTCTGCGGAATTTTATCGAACACCTCTCAGGCATTCTGTTTTAGTTCCTTAGGGTCTTCTTCAGGTATGGATCTTGTCCCTCTTTCTTACCGGACTACTGCTTACTCTCAGATCGCTGCTGGAAACAGCCATGTCTGTGCAGTTAGAGGAGCTTACTATTCCGATCACGATTCTGGAACTATCGACTGTTGGAAGATAACAAGAGCTACGAACAACAACAGCTTAATCGCGAAAGAGTATCCAAAGTTCTACGATCAGATTGTTAGTAATCTCGTCTTCAACAAAATCGTTTCTGGTGATGGGTTTAGCTGTGGTGGAATCAGAGAAGGAGGGTTGCTCTGTTTTGGTCCAAAGGCTTCTACTTTAGGGTTTAACTCAAGTTCCGATGACTTCGAAGTCTTAGCTGCTGGAAAAAGCTCACTTTGCGCGATTCTAAACTCATCTCGAGAGGTGAAATGTTGGGGAGACGATGAATCTTTGGTCAATTATCCGAAAGACGATACTCGATTCGTTGCTTTAACCGCTGGACCTCGTCATTTCTGCGGAATCCGTGAAGATAATCACGAGGTTGAATGTTGGGGAAACTCTAATTTCTCATTGATTCCAAAAGGTTCTGGATTTAAGGCGATTGCTTCGTCTGATTTCATCGTTTGTGGTATAAGAGAAGAGGATCTTGTTCTTGATTGCTGGTTAGTTAACGGGTCGTCGACGTTAGCTTACGATCCTCCATTAGAGCTTTGTAGTCCAGGGATGTGTCGAGCTGGTCCGTGTGACGAAAAGGAGTTTACTTTCAACGCAAGTATCCTCAACGAACCTGACCTAACGAGTTTGTGTGTAAGAAAAGAGTTGATGGTATGTTCACCTTGCGGTTCGGATTGCTCTCACGGTTTCTTTTTGTCTAGTTCGTGTACCGAGAACTCTGATCGGATCTGCACGACTTGCTCGCTCTGTCAAAACAGCTCTTGTTCTGACATATGTAAGCTTCACAACCACAATTCTGTAGACAGACATTGGCATCAACTACAGAGACTTGTCCTCATTGTCGGATCTTGCGCATCGGCTCTATTGATCATCACAATCGGTTGCTGCGTCGTGCCACGGATTGTCACTAGTCCTAACAAAGAAGACGGTACAACGAATCAATTCAAATCTTGCATAGGAAAACCGGTTTTAGACACCGAGCAACTTGAAATGATCTCCCCTGCTCCATCGGTAACGCCTTTTGCTCAAGTGTTTAGACTCTCTGAGCTTAAAGACGCGACCAACGGGTTCAAAGAGTTCAACGAGCTAGGCAGAGGAAGCTACGGGTTCGTCTACAAAGCCGTGTTAGCGGACGGGAGGCAAGTAGCGGTTAAGAGAGCAAACGCAGCAACCATAATCCACTCAAACACTAGAGAGTTCGAGACGGAATTAGAGATTCTATGCAACATTAGGCATTGCAACATTGTGAATCTCCTTGGTTACTCGACCGAAATGGGAGAGAGGCTTCTTGTTTACGAGTACATGCCTCACGGTACGCTTCACGATCATCTACACGGCGGGTTTTCGCCTTTGAATTGGAGTTTAAGGATCAAGATCGCTATGCAAACCGCAAAGGGTCTCGAGTATCTTCACGTTGAAGCTGACCCGAGGATCGTTCACGGCCATGTGAAGTCTTCGAATGTACTTTTGGACTCGGATTGGGTCGCGAGAGTTGCGGATTTCGGGCTCGTGACATCGTCGAACGAGAAGAATTTGGACACCAAAAGAGATGTTTATGACTTTGGTGTTGTGTTGTTAGAGATTTTAACCGGAAGGAAGCGTTATGATAGGGACTATGATCCGCCGGAGATTGTTGAATGGACGGTTCCGGTGATCAGAGAAGGCAAAGCTACGGCGATTATGGATAAGTATATTCCGTTGCCGAGAAACGTTGAGCCGTTATTGAGACTTGCTGACGTGGCAGAACTGTGTGTACGGGAAGATCCGAGTCAACGACCAATAATGTCGGAACTTGTGAACTGGTTGGAACAGATCGTACGAGATGGATTAATCTTGTAGCTTTTTTTTTTTTTTAGGTTCCGAGATTTTATTTTTACTTTATGTGAGTGTGGTAATTATTCTTTAATTTAAAATTTTCTTGTGAATTGGTTTAATAAGAGATGCATACAAAAATTTTGGATTATTTTTTAAACTAGAGAAAATCATTATCCAAAAAAGGTATTTTTTACTAGTTAACTTATAATCAAAGTAATTAACGTAAGGGTTATAGTATTGTGATCAGCAACAACAACAAAAACATACTAATATTGAAATTTTGTTTATGAATCTTTGAAACTAAAGAGGCTGTGGTTAATATCGAAGACCAGTTTCGATTTATTAGCTGTTTATAGGGAGTAAAGGAGAAACATCTTCTTTTTACGTAGTGTTTGTATATAACAAAATTTTAACAAAAATGTAGCTGATTAGTTCATGCACACAATTTGTCTAGCTACTATATATGTGGTAATAGTTATGTGATCATTTTCTTGTTATGTATTGGTTTTTTATAAACCATTTTCTTAACGAACATTTAGCTAATGAGTTCAGGCACACAATTTGTCTACCATGTCGTGTTTTGTATTTAACCATTTTTTAACAAACATTTAGCTAATTAGTAAATGGACACATGCAGTCTTTTAAACCAGCTTGTTGTTCCACATCTTACACAAATTACACAGCTCCATTGCTATCAATCAATTTTCTGTTCCTCATTTCGAATCTCACAAAAAAATTTATATCTAATTATATCCTATGGTCAAAGAATACTAATATTGTTAGTGAAAGATCCGAGAAATGACAAAATGAAATAAATGAATAGTGTTTGGCTTCAGATGGATTCATGGATAGCACGTGATACCTCGCGAGACTATACGTGGACTTCAGATAAAAATATCGGATAGGGCCATGTATACACTTCAATCTGATTAAGATCAACTTATAAGACAATATGCATGTCTAACCATACTTAAAATATTACCAATCTATCTCTCTCCAATGATCTCTTAAGAGTTAGTAATTAGGAGTAAACCACCTCGATCTTGTTTAATCTTAGTTGAACCACTTGGTGTGGACTGATTCCTTAACATGAGGCTGTAACTATTAAATGTTTGGTGTTTATGTTTTTGTTTAATATAAGAAAATATTTGACATATGTACATTATTACTTTTGTGTTCCAAAAAATGTTAATGTTGATTCAAGAGATCGATAATGAATTTGTAATGGAAAGAGGTTAGGAGATTCTCGATAAATAAGTCGGAGCTCGGTGTTTGCTTTGTGGACGAATTAGAATTTAAGTGGTTTATAT